CCCGCCACCTTAGGTGTATGTGGCTGGCACCTTAGCCACTTGAGCCACAGGCGCCGAGCCAAGAATTAAATTTCTTATGATCACCATTTACAAATATTCCACATTTAACAAATATACTATCTCAGACACAAACTAATTTTACAATATTGACATTTTGTACTTTTTCCTTTCTTAAAAGAAAGCCAAACTTATGGTATCTGAAAGTACTTTTTCTTACAAAATTTATTTTTTTGTTTTGTTTTTGGCCGGGGCTGGGTTTGAACCTACCACCTGCAGCATCTGAGGCTGGCGCCCTACTCTTTGAGCCACAGACGCCACCCCTTTCTTACAAAATATTAATAGTAGGCAAATACTCAGCCACCACTGAACAGCTTTCTAGTCAAGAAATTCCTTGAAAATAAACATAACTACTCAAATGACAAGTCTGAGTAAACATTGCTAAGTCACCCCTTCTCCAGAAACAAAATAAAAATAAACTATAATACCATTTTTTCCCAGTGATATAGACCATTAACTGAAGGAAAATCTCCAAACCTGGAACAAAATGATGTATTCTTAGCTTTTTAAAAATAAACCTAGGATGAATACCATATATAAATACCTGTGAAGCATAACGATAAAAAAAAAAAAAAGTTTAAACAAAAGAATAAGGCAAGAAAAAGAATTTTTAATGCAACAAATTTTCAGTTTTGGCAATACCCATGGCTCAGTGGGTTGGGCACCACCCAGCCACATACACCAAGGCTGGTGGGTTCGAACCCGGCCTAGACCAGCTAAAGCAATAATGACAACTGCAACAACAACAACAAAAAAAATAGCCAGGCATTGTAGCCGGCACCTGTAGTCCTAGTTACCTGGGAGGCAGAGGCAAGAGAATCGTTTAAGCCCAAAAGTTTGAGAGTGCATTCTACCAAAGGTGACAAATAAAATTAAAATAAATCTGCAGTTTAAAAAAAAAATTACTAAGTACAATTTTTTTTATGGAATAGAAAAAACATACAGAATCAGAAAATTACAAGACTTTGATGATTTAAAATAAAACTCTGCTTGAGAACAGGAATATATTATATAAATAAGAAAAAAACTCAGGGCTTGGCGCCTGTAGTTCAAGCAGCTAAGGCTCCAGCCACATATACCAGAGCTGGTAGGTTCCAATCCAGCCCGGGCCTGCCAAACAACGACAACTACAACCAAAAAATAGCCAAGCATTATGGCGGG